ACTTCCAAATAACCATGGGTCAGCAAGAAATGAAAATGAAAATCTGAAGACAGCATAACTCGTGATAATGAAAATACACTTCTTTAATTTTTTAAAGTAATCCTTTGAGAGAAATCCGTAGCTCTGAATACTTACATTGGAAAAGAAGAATGACTTCTACTCAATAATATTAACTTTCATTTTATGATGAAAAAGCAAAGTAAGCAAACAGAAAATAATAAAAGTAAGAGTAAAACTAATGAAATACAATATATCTTAGCAGTAGAAAAAATGAAAATAGGTTCACTGCAAAAACTAAAATTGAGACTATAAATATGAAGAATAGAAAACGAAAACACAAATTACAAATATCAGGAATGACATTCAAACCTCACTGGTAATTCTACAGGCATACAACGACAAGAAGAAATGAGGTTACAGGAAAGGCATGCCAATATTGTGAATACTTAGATGAATTAAAAAAAAAAATTCCTCAAAAGAACAATTCCCAGAACTGCCACAAGAAGAGACAGAAACTGGAATACCTTCTAAAGAAACTGAACTTAAAATTCAAAGCTTTCTTACAAAAGGAACCCCAGGCCCTGGTAGTCAATAGGTAATTTTTAAAAAATGATCCAAAACTACCAACAATTTTACACATAGGTTTGTAAGAAATGAAAACTATAAGCCAATGTCGTCCATGAACACTGATATGCACAAAAACTTTAACATGAGCACAAGTGTTTAAGAAAACATTAGCAAATCAAGTTAAATATTAAAAAGACAAGACATGTTCCTGTGAAGGTTTATTCCAGGAATGCAAAACTGGATGAACTTTTCAAAATCAATCACTGTAAATTACCGACTGATTCAAAATCACACTGACTGATTCAAAAGAGAAAAACAAACTCACATGAACCATGCAATAGATGGAGATATGAATTCAACAAAATTCCACACCCGCATTAAAACTTTTTCTTCAGAAAACTAAAAACAGAAGCTTAATCCCTTATGCAGATAGAAGCTATTTAATAATATGATATAGTGTAAATGCTTGTCTTCAAATTGGAGATAACACAAAGATGAGTCCCTTTCCTAACTTCTACTGATTACCGCATTGGAGGCCCAAAACAGATAGACAGTAAAAGTAATCAAAGATATCAAGCTGAAAAAGGAAATTAAAAATCTATTTCTTTAGGAGTGAGAAGATCAAGTATGCAGAAAATCCTAAGCGACTGAGAGAATAAAACAAACAAAAACTCTACCATTTAGGTAGTCAATCTAGAAGGTCAAAAGATCAAGATTAATATATAAATATCAAATAATTGCTCCTGTAGGAGTTCTCAAGGAACCAACTGAAATTGAAATTTTAAAGAGTACTCCTAAAATAGCATCAAAGCCCAAAATAGTTCAGGATAAATTTAACAATATGTGTACAAGACCTGTACCTTCAAATCTACAAAAAAAGAAAGAAAAACTATTGCTTAAAAATTAATAAAGACACAAATAAATGGAAAGATATATCATTCATGGATGGAAAGCAGTATTTTTAAGATTTCAGTTTTCTCCAGATTGATTCATATTTTAGTAGAGTCTGAATCAAAACCCCAGTATATGTATCAGTCAACAAGCTGTACAAGTGTTTCCTAAAATAGTCAGATTAATCTGGGAAGAAAAGCAGGAGGATGTGTAGCATCTGATTTCATGACTTACTTGGAAGCCATGTTAATTAAGATAGAATCATACTGGTATCCAAACAGATTCACAGAACACAATGGGGAATGCAGAAAGAGATCCAACCTCAGAGTCTACTGAATTTTTGGACAAGTTTTTAGAATAATTCAGCAAAAATGGGAAGATTTTTCAATATGACTGTGAAATAACTGGCTACCTACTTGGGAAAACAAAAATAAGACAAACTTCTTTATATTTTATAGCATGTAAGATATAAAATATAAATAAGAATATAAATATTTTGAAAGGAATTACAGAAAAATATACTAATCTTCTAGAAGAAACTGTAAGATATTTCTATCCTAATGTGGACAAAACTGCTAATACAGGATTTAGAAAACAACTACACATAAATTGATAAAATAACTTTAGAATTTTTTTTAAAAAGTTTATCAAAAAATGAATTTAGAAACTGGATAAAATATGCAAAATTATATATTTGAGAAAGATCTGAATTCAAACTGTGTGTGGCCAATTACTCAGTAAATTAAAAACAAATGACCCAGTAACAAAATGGGCTAAAGACTTCATGAATGCTTTACAAAAAGGATTATTACTTGGTGATTGATAAGTTTATGAGGCAGTGCTCAATAGCATTAGTATCTGAGGAATGCAAATTTAAAAATAATGTGATACCACTACTTATCTATTAGCACTGCTAAAATTTTAACATTTGGTAAGTTCAAAAGTCGGCGAGGAAGCATAGCAAGTGCAATATGTGCATATTCTAAGAGACAGTGTAAAAGGATACAACCTCTTTGAAAACAGGTTTGGCAGATTCAGAGTTAAGCAAACACCTTCCTTTAATCCTTCTCACTATCATATTATAAAACAAGTGCACATTTAATGTGCTTACATTAACTTCTTCTTTTAGACTTTGCTTTAGCTGACTAAATGAAATTGTGCTCTCTATAAAGTTTATTTAGTAAATTTCTCTTATTGTGTATCCTAGTATGAAGAATGCCTTGTGAATGAATTCAGCAAAGGACTAGTACATATGAAGAAGGAACATAAGCTCAGACATCCCTTCTGAATTTCAGCACTAGCTGACCCAGACCAGAAGCTAAGCAAATAAACAGAGACACAATCCCTCTGGTATCACTGGACCTAAAAAGGTCTGACTCTCAGCATAATTCATTTGACCTCCTGGGTCCACACCTCCCTTCATGTCCCTGACATTGTCCACACTACCCATGGATCAGGGAGTTCTGTACCAGAGGAGCTGCTCAAGTAGATCTGCTTGGTTTTGTTTTTTTTTTTTTTTGTTTTTTTTTCCAGTACCAGGAATCGAACTCATGACCTCGTGCTTGCCAGGTAGGTGCTGTGCTGCTGAGCTAAATCCCCAGCTCCTGCTCAAGTAGATCTGATGGCAGACTTGTGCTTCACTCCTAAATAAAATATTTTACTTGGTTGATTTGATTTTTTTATTCTGACAATACATTAATAATTTCTGTCATTTTTCCATAATTGCTTCCTAGAATACATGCCTCAGAAGAAGTGTCCCACACAATGTTCCATCCTTAAGAAATCTCAAGTGAAATGTATGTGAAACATCCCTCTTTCATAAACCCCACGGATATTCATATCAAATGCTAGCTACCATATTAAAGACTCGAAGGGTTCCTGAGATAAAGTAATCTGATTATGTTAAACCTAGAGTATAACGATATGCACCTGATTAAAAACCCTCTGTCAAACAACACCTACAAAAACCTTGTGGAAATCATAATGAGAGGTAACATTCATTGGATATTTAATATATATATTATTATATACAATATCTACTTTGAGTTCTTTAAAATGGTCTTCTGGGGTGTTGATATGATTTAGCTCACTATAAAGATGAAGAAATTGGTGCTCGGAGAGATTGCATGACTTTACCACGACCACAGAGTTAAGATACACAGAAACTAGCATTTCAGCAGGCTATGCAAACTCGGAAGATCAGTAGGGCAGGCTCATAATCACTCCCATCGGAGTTCTCAGGAACTGACACTGGGAAGCTGTAGCACCATGTACATCAGATTTTAGACTAGGTACCAAGTAGCAGCAACAATGACTTATCCTGATCCAACCAACCAAGACTTCTTAAGAGGCATACACTTCCGGTCTCGCTCATTTGTTTCTCATTTGTAATTAAATGTTCAGATGTACCCTGCTGCTTCATCAGCTTTTTAAAAAAATTCAGTCCCAGTGCACAATGGAACAGTTATAAACTAATTTTCTTCCACTTTTGATATAAATATTTTAAGCTCTGTAAAATTCTAGGATCCAGGATGATTCCAAATGACCTGATTGCAAGTGTGATGACATCATTACTTCTTTTCCAGAAAATGGAAAAAACTTTCTGGAAGGGATGGACTGAGTGGGATTCTGTATTAGGGAAAAGGCCCAAAGAGATCTTTCAACAGTCTGTTTCAGAGCAACGGCTCACACAAGAAGGCTTCACAGATTTTATTTATTATCCAAAAATATAGACAATTTAACATACGAATCACTTTTACAATATTTAAAATCATATTTAAGTTTCATTTAAGCAATTATAGCTGGTAATACATTATAAAACTACTTAAATATCAATACAGGGTATCTAAAGAGTGCTTTAAAAATTATATATTTTTGAGAACTAGCACTCTATATCTTACTTAACTGCTTCTATGCAATTAGATGGTTGCTATTTGTGTTTCATTATTTTTGTGTGTGTGTTTCATTATTATAGATAATTCTTTAAGGGTACAATGAGTATTCAGGAAAATACTATAAGAATTAGGTTGGATTATAAGTTTATTTTTATGACTCTTGAACTCTGCTATTGATTTTTAAGTGTCTTCATGTCTTACAAACAACAGGTGACTATCAGTCTTAGTATATTCTTGATAGCTTTGAATATGTTCTTTTTATTTTCATGACTGTATAGGTATAAAATTATGCTTCGTTATTATGATCCTCTGGATTTTTTTTAGCAACATTTGGGCACTAAAATATTAACATGATTAGGAACGTTTTGAGGGGTTAGGGCTACAGCTCATGAGTCCTTGACAAACATTCAGGAGGCCCTGAGTTCAATCCCCATGATAGCCAAAAAAAAAGTATGAGTTTTGAGTAGTATTTATCTTCATGTGGATGGAAACCTTCTCTTTCATTCGATTTTGCTTCATTGCTACGCGTCAGAGGCTGTGCTAGGTGCAGCAGCTCTCTTGTTCTCAGTCTCCCCTCCCCTCGTCACCACTAAGTTACACTCGGAGTTCACAGAGTTCACAGATTCCTCTGCTGGGAGCATCCATTACCTTTCTGTTTCACAATGGCTGTTCTATCAACCTCTCCTCTGGCATTTCTAGCATGACAGACATAGTTGCGCCGGAGATCCTCAGGGGTAACTTTCTTGATGCTCAGAACGTGAGTTCTTGTTTCATCTTCCGTTTTAGAATAACTTACACTAGAGAGAGGGGAAAGAAAAAGCAAAGCATTTGTGAGACCCAAGGGCTGCACATGCGTGTGAATCAGACAAGGAAACAGCCACAGAACCCCCAGGTGAGGGCGGGCAGAATAGTTACAGACAGCGTTGCGGGTAACATGTCTATAAAAAGGAACAACTAGATATGGATACTACTGTTCACCCTCTATACTGTACACCCCCCAAATATTGACAGCAAATCTCAATACTGGCTGCTTACTACTGCTCTGTCTTCAAAGCAAAATGTTTCTTTTGCGCAAACTTTGGATGCAGGATGCTGTATGCCTTTAGTGATCAGACCTCTTTGGTTTTGTTGCCGGTTTTCCCATTTACCACTACATACTTTGGGCAAGGAAACTCATGTTTGCACCTCTTGTGTTTGTAAAAGAGGAAAGTAGTAAGGGCTACACAGTGCACTGCATGTATTAAGTTACCAGAGAATGCTGAGGACTGAATATGTGCATGGCTATGTGGAAGAACAAAGCTTAATAAATGTTGGTGGAGGGTATCATTATTATCTCACAGTAGCAGCTGTTGTACTTCAGTGATTCTGGAAGCTTGGATGCTGAACACAGAATATTTTGGTCATGGTTAAATCCTAACACTATAAAGAAAAGAAATGGCTCAGAGCAGGAAAACTGTTAAAATAAATCTATCCAAACTCAGTGAGGCAAAGATCAAGTGCTCTGGGTCTAAGATCAAGATTTAAAATCCCTTTGAACTACTTTGCTCGTATACTTGACTGCCATCCAGGTTCTGTGTTGGATTAGGTTTTCTGTGTATCACTCCTACAAATCCGGTTAAGGGTGCTGATTGGTTTAGCCTAAGCTTCACTCTGCTGCTCTGACAGACACGGAGAACACGTCTCAATTACAGCAAGGAGGAAGGTGACTTCATTATTATTCATTATTTCTATGAGGAAGGGGAATGCAGTGATGAGAATTCTTAAAATGATCAGTAACTCTTCCTTGGAGCCTTCAGCCACAAGTTTCACAAATTCTTTTCTGCAAAAAGTAATTCAGTTTTGGAAAGGTTACATCTTTTTATGTTTTGCTTCTCTAACCTCTAAACCTTTGCATGTGATGTTTCCCATACCAGGAAGTCTGTCCATTTCTCTCTCTGGGTAATTGCTACCCAAATCCTTATTTTGGTAATGCATCCTCTGAGAAGCTCTTAAACTGAACCCTAAAACTGACTAAATCTTTTTTTATTTTAAAGAGAAAATCCCTTTTTACATCTTCTTATGCTGCAATCTTTCCAAATCACTGTGCTTACCACGTGATACTGCAGTGTTGACTCTATCACTGTTAGTCCTATAAAACCTACCTGGTAAGGAACCAAGTATCCAATACAATGTAACCATTTTATAACTCATGCACAATTCTGAATGTATTATTAATAAAAAAATCCAACTTTTGAATTCTATGTATGCATAAGCGATAAAGCTCAAGATTTTAGAATCCTTTCATCATATAATTGGTTACACACTAATTTTGTTAATAGTTGCTGTGAACCAACTGCTCTTTGCCAGCGGTGTAGTTCATTTTCACAGAAATAGTATGTTTTTAAAAACATATTTCTCTTTTTAAAATTAAGGGTTTTTCTAAGAATAAAATGCCCCATGTTGTTGTCTTGTAAGTGAATGATATCATTACTCAACCATCTTAGGCTTAAGCTGCTAGGCTTAAGACAATGGCAGGAATAAAATTCTAAAAACATAAAGGTACTTAGTCAACCTTTAAAAAATGATTATGTATTTAAGGAGGAACAAAATAGGAAATGTATGATCACTGCCCTATAATAATTAAGCACAGTTTTCTACAGCACACAAACATATGCATACACTCCAAAGACTAACAACTACTTTCATGTGTTCACAACCCTCCATGTAACCTGTTCATTCCTTCAGGATAGGCAGTCTACTTACTTCTAAGTGAGTATCATAAACGTGTGAACTGTGCTAGGCTTAAGACAATGGCAGGCAATAGGGAAACTACAGTGGAGATGGCAAGCCACAGGACATTCTAACTCAATCCTTTACCAGACATTAGATGGCATATGGCTCTTGGATTGCAGGTGCGGTAGCTGTGGTTTGGGAATAGAGCTATTAAAGACTTGAAAATCTTCACAGTTTTTGTAAATGATAGGTAACAATGAAAATTTTTATTTTCAATGATTAGTATATATCAAATAGCCTTAGACTGAGGAGCAAAGGTTAGGCACTTCCTTGCGGCCGCTATGATACCTTTCACTAATGGTTATGTCAACTGTGACATCATCAGGTTTTTTTCCATCAATGGTCCACCAAACCTCATTGTGAGAGTCCTTAATAAAGCTAAAATAGACTGTACAGGGGATGAGGAGCTCCTCTCCTAAAACAGAAACAAAAACACAAACAAATGATCAGATGAAGTTAACCCATTAGTTTGTAACTTTCTCGTGGTTGGTTATATTGATCTAATTCTCCAGTACACTACCACAGGTAATATACTGTTATTCATTCCAAAACCAGCCAAACAAACAGGCAAAACCAAAACAAAGAAGATCAATAACTTTATATAAAATTACTATAGCATGACCATTTTAATATGATCTAAATATGCTCTAAAAAGGCAGTGTGTGTTCACACTCTGACCATATCCTTTATAGTGCTAAACCTCCATGGGCTACTCTTTTCTTTTAATTCCTTGCTAAGAAAAAGGTGACAGGAAGAGTCTCCAGATCTTTGGTCCCTGCCAAAGAAGATATCATCACCAAGAGAGCCGCTCAAGGAGGTCTTGTCTTGAAATACTCAAACTGGTCAGTAAACTTAGAGACAATTTAAAAATAGAAATTCTAAGCCATCTTTAGCTCTTTTCTGAGAGGGATATCCTCAGAGAGAAGAGAGGGAGGGAGAGAGGGAAGGAGAGAGGGAGGGCATGAGAGAGGGAGAAACCACAGCAGCAGCAGCAATACACTCACCAAAAACTGTGCTCAATAGTTACATCTTTTAACATCCTTATTAAATCTTAATAAAACATTATGGGATTTTTTTTTAGGCAAAAGCTCTAACTTACAAGTGTTAAAGGACATGTCTAGGACAATTTGTTAATAAACACTCTATAGGCCAGAATTTGGGACTAGATCTCCCATCTCAGCTTGCCTAGAATAGTTGTTTTATTCATGCTTTTCTATCCATTAATACTGAAAGCTTTCATTCTCCAGAAGTGTCTAGCTTTGGATGATAAATTGTGTTGTCACTTTAATTAGAACTTAGCTTTATCTGGCTGACTGGTCATATACTAGTCCCCATCCTAATGCATGGGTTTTGGGTCAGTCCGATTCAGTTTTCCTTACCAATATTTCACTGAAGAAGATAAAGTGAGGATGAATCCAGGAATGCTTTTACAAGCAAGATTAACCATTGACCCTGACAGGCAGAAGAATGTTGCATTCCTATAAAATGCCACAGCCAAATCTAACAAACTCAGTTTGAAGTTAGCAGACAACTACCGTGCTCTCTATTTGTTTCTTAACTAAGGCAAATCATTAGTTAAATGATTTGCAAACACATCTTAGTATTTTCTGTTTTCGGTGGTGCTGTTCTCCACTTTTACTAATCACCGACTCTATTGCCTTCAGTACACTTTTAAAAAATGCGCTTTTATATCAGTCATTGTGTCTGGATTGAATTTGTCATAATGGATACAATGAAAAAATGCTACCATGTTCCATTATTCTCTATTCACTTAATTGTGTGAGGCTGTGAGTCAGAAGAACATAATTATTTCTCACTGGTCAGTGACATATGATTTTTATCTAGATTGAAAAATTATAAAAACCAACAGGAGACTGAGGAAGCTAGAGAAAACATTTGACAGTGTTCTGTATGCAGGTTTAACAGCTGTATCAATTTTTCCCTATGACAGTCACAGTCCGGTCTCCAAGGTCCACCCTCTGCCCTTTATTAGTGGCACCGAAATTTAAAGGCGGTCTTATGCTTATGTCTCTACAATGCACAGCGCTGTGCAAAGTCAAGTGTGCATCAACCAGAAATCAGTGATCAGCAAAGGAAGACTGCTACTAGGAAAAGGCACAGATTCAGACAGAAGGGCAGAGAATCCCCAACCTGACGGCCCATGAGCTCCCTGAGTAGCTCATCCCTAGAGTTGCCTATGTTTCTGCCAACAGCCTTTCAATTTAAACTCATGCATTTCTTTATAATAGCTCCTTATTGTCTTTTGCTAACTTCGTCGTTTTACTTCTTGTAATTAAGAAACTCTAACTGCAATTCAGTTTCACGGCTATAAATTACCTGGTTCTTTCTCGTAGATCACATGATCATTGGGGGAATGAATCTTAGGAGGTGATGCATCTTTTGGAGAGCCTGTCATATAGAAAATAAAAAAAAAAATAGAGGGAGAAAGATCATGTTAAATCATTGGCTTTATTAATCTTCTATGAAGTTGTATCCAACTTCCTGGCACAGTTTTTCAATTCCTAAGATCCATAGTTTTATATATATTTACTGCACTTCATTCAATTAAAGCAAGCAAGTAAGTGTAACATCCTAGAGAGTATATATTTAGCCTCTGTTACTGGTTCTTGACACATAGCTCCTAATTCTTTTTAATTTCCTGAGTGTTACGGTGAATATGAATACCTTTGTCTTAGCTCTTTGCTATTTTGTATTAGTCCCCAGTTTGGGACCTAACGCTTTCAAAACCTTTGGATCCACCCTCTGGAGTGAAGAGTGTCTTTCTGGGTGCTAATCAGATGACTGGTAGTCACTGGTTCCTCAAAAGCTTCAGAGTGAGGGCTAGAAGCAGGAAAGACAAGCAAGGTGTGACAGAAAGGTCTGGAACTTTCAGCGCCACACCCCAACCTCCAGGGAGAGAAGGCTAGAAATTGATTGCAAATGGCCAGTGATTTAGTCAACCATGTCTATATAATAGAACTACAATAATCTTAAAACAGGGAGGTTTGGAGAGCATCCCACTGGTGAAGAAACACATCCACATGTGAAGTTGGAAAGTGGGTGGTGCACACCTGTACCACAGGGACAGAAGCGCTTTCACGCAGGGTCCTTTTAGACCTCACCTTGTGTACCTCTTCACCTGGGTATTCATTTGAATCTTTCATAGTATCCCTTATGAAAAACTAGTAAATGTAAGTAAAATGCCTTCCTGAGTTTTGTAAGCCACTACAGAAAAAAATCACAGAATTTAAGAAGGAAGTTGTAGGAACCATCAATTCGTAAGCACATGGGACAGAAATGCAGGGGACCTGGGGACCCACTGTTGCAACTGGTATCTGAAGGAGAAAAGCAGGGCAGCCCTGTGGGACTGTGCCTTTAAACTGTGGGATCTGTGCTAACTCCAAGTGATCAGTATCAAATTGATTTAAATGGTAGGAAACACAGATGGTATCCTCAGAGAACCGCAGGATCACTAGGTGTGGAAAACTCACACATTTGGTGACAAGCGTTGTGAGCACAGTAAAGCAAGTTTTTTCTTTATAAAGGCACTAAAAAAGGCATAATGAGTTCCTCCCATGTTTCAGGATCGATTTTTTAACTCGTGTCCTTAACTTCCAAAGCTTATACGAGATAGACTTCTCATTTACGTCATGTACAGTATAATTAATAGCTTTAATGTCTTAATTATTTCTTCTCTAAATACCTCCTTTTAGATTAGCACACAGTATAATGATAATAGGTATTTTCAATTTATAATTCATGATTATTGGAGTTATTTTTTTGGAGATATTATTTAAATATTTACCTACAAAATCCTCAGACTGTCTAGTATAGGATCCAGTTAAGTGTTTTAAATAAATGCATACACAAATGGAAAGTTTAAAGCAACAGACATCTACCTAATTGATGTTATCAGTTGCATGTCTACTCTTGAGATTACTGCTCTTTAGAATAATCTGTATTTCTAAATTGAAAGAAAAAAAACCTTCTAGTGACTTTTTTAGGTTTGCAAGATTTAGTGAACAGGTTTTAATCATGACATAGCCATATATTAACCATATGAACCCAAGATTTTATTTAAAAGCAAATTTTCCCTAATTCTAAGATGAGGATAAATACAAACCCACCTCACAGAGTTGCATGAGGAATAAATGAAGTAATACATCCAATAGTGACAGGCAGCAAGTATTAAACGCTTTGCAGCTTTATAAAAGTTAACCAGTGTTGGCTGAAAATTAGACTCAACAAATCCCTCTTACCCCAGGCTGTGTCTATCAACTGGTATATCTACAACACACCTCTTGTCAAATTTACACTTAGGTATGTACATTAGAAACAACTGCTGAGATGAATATAAGCTTAAGTAGTTCATGGCTTCTAAAATCCATTCATGTTAGACTCATTCTTGTAGTATTTGCATTCTCCTGAATTAATCTCCACCCCAGCATTACTTGAAAAGTACGCAGAGAGAAATGATTACAAAATTATTTGATTTGAATTTTATTTGTACTATGTTAAAACTGTGTTTCATTTTGTTTTCTGGTAATTTACACCAAATCTAGTGTCTGACTTGTAGAAAAAGCCCTGAACACAAGCAAGGATTTAAAGTGACTTGTTCCACTAACTCATGGAGTGTCTCTAAACGAGTGACTTCCTGTTTCTGGGAGCCAACATTTCCATTTAGTCAAGCATGAGTATGGAAAAATATTACTCACACATGTTATTTTAAACAGTATAGACATGGTGGAATTTACGGTTTGCCCCTACAAGCCACATATGCTGACATCCTTTCTCTTGATATCTAGATCTGATAGGAGTTCCAACTCTGCCAAGGAACTCTCTCTTCCATTTCCCTGGTTTTCACTCAGTTCCCTCAGTGCAAAAGCATAGTTGAGAACTGCTAGCAAATATCACCAGCAGCAGCAACAGCAACAACAGCAGTACACAGAATGATATAGCATAGTTAACCCAAACAAGTAAAACACTTTTTTGACAATAATATTAATATGATTCATTCATTCTCCATTGCTTGCCTGGAACTCCATCAACACATACGTGTATTACTTGTAATGCTGTCAATAATTAGGTAATTTTAGTTCCAGATTACAGATAAGGTAACTTGGAGAACTTCATCAAAGTCATATAGCCAATAAACAAAAGTGTTACAATCTGAACACCAATCTGCCTGGTGTACTTTGTATCCCCTATAAGCCTTATTTCATTCATTCACATATTGGAATGGTTCATTCAACTAATAATTGGTAAATGCTTACTTTGTACAAGGAATTGCTGCAGGCTCTGAGGACAGTGCAATGAACAAAAATATATCTCTTCTTACACAGTTTGTATGTAATAAATTATTAAGAGTGAGAATAAGGTTACTGTATTTTTCTTGTGTGTACTCAACATAGGACATACTTACCTACTATCTTTACGGTCACACTCCGGGTGAGGTGAAAGATGCGTCCATTTTCTGGATATGCAACAACACACGTGTAATTTCCATTATTTGAAGTCAAAGGAATGAAAAAACTTAACTCCATGCCTTCAGGCAGTACATTATGGAAATTCTTTATTAAATAACAACCCTAGAAGAAGAAAAGATGTTTATTCCTTAGCTACACTCATCACAAATGTACAAACACATCTACTCTGGCATCTAATTCTTCACAGAACAACATCAAAATAATCTATTCTGCACCTTTTCTAAAACTATTTTGGTCAATTAACTGGACAACATTTCTACAAGATGGAATAAATATCATTAACTTTTCTGCAAGAGGGAAATTAAAATTTTAAGCTGAGTTATGACTTCAAAAGCAGACCTTTCGTGTCTCAGGATCCAGTATTCAAACTGTTGGAACCCCATGCTGATCTGTGAAGCAAGGTTAAAGTTTTGAAATGATGATGAAGAAATCTTGAGCAACTGAAAACTCTGCTTTAGAAAACAACTGTTTTTTATTTTTCTGAAATTATCACTGATTTTATTAATTCAGGAACACACTCACTCTGTCAGATTAACCAGGCTCCAATGTAGATGTCATGTGCCATTCTTGTTTTCTTCTACTTTATCTTAATTTTACCATGGAGTAGTATAGACTCCAGAATTTAAATATTAAAACTTCTTATGAGCTTTATCAAGATCTAAGAATGTATTTCTGCTTCTCGTATGTTCCTACAACTCAGCTGATGTTAAAAATTTTGAGTCTGTACTATCTCATACAAAGTAATTACTCTTGTTTTGGATCTCTAAGTCTCATCAAATGGCTACATGGTTTTGTTTCTTTATTTTAGTTAAATATTCAATCTCTCACTCATGACAAAAACATGTTGAATATTTGCTTTCCAAAAAACACTTTGCTTAAACGCAAAATAAAAGATGAATGATAGGGAACAAGGAGACAGACAGGCAGGGGACCTGGGGAAGGGAAAAGACAGGGACAGGAGGGAAAAGGGGGTAAAAAGACCAGGATGCCATTTGTGTGTATAGAAATTCCCATGATGAATGCATTCATTCTGCATCACGTATAGTAATAAAAATGCCTTTGTTTTGCTTTTAAACATCATTCATTCATGGATGACAAAAAACCATTAGTTTACCTCAAAGGTCATTTACATCTTTAAAATTCTGATCTATTAAGGACTTGTAGGTTCATGTTCCTATGTGTAACTTTAATTCTGGTACATTTAAGATTTTCCCCAATTCCTGGAGCATGTATTTTGAAATATGACAGTTAATATAAGAGGCATATTTTGTAATTCTTTCTCACAGGAAATACGTCTTTTGAGAATAGCACTGAACTCTGGCTGCAAGGAGAGGATCTGATGTAAGTCTGGGTACGCTATTTTCTCAGAGCAATCTCTCCTGTTTGGATAAGCAATACTTCTGGACACTTGTCACATCAGGGGAAGGTTTTAATACCGTTAGGTTATCGCAAAGAATGAAGTCACAAAGGCCTGGACTCTTATAATGAATTTATGTCAGACTGGCTTTAAATTGAGTATAGAATGTCTATAGAACTCTGTTTGATTTTTGTGGCACCTTTCACTTAAACAGTTCAAAGATATTTTTCCTTCATTTGTTAGCTTAGCTGTTCTGAAATCCCTGTGAAGTAGACAGATCAGAGTATGTTCTGGTTTTCTAGATAGGAGAAAAAAAAGTACCACGGAAGACAGAGATATCCTAGATAGCAAATTACAGAGCTGTAACTCAGTTTCCAGACAGCTGAAGAAAAGTCTTCTACTGGCTTAACTAACACAACACCATTCCTCAGCCATCAGCTGGCAGATGCTGTACAAATTATACTGAGATATACAATTACCATGTGCTGTGTTATCTCATCCCATTCTTGCTTTTATCTCCATTTTATAAATGTAGAAACAAAGACCTATAACATGTAAGTACAAGTCAATGTTACAGCACCAGGTAGTAGCAAGACTGAAATTTGAATCTAGGTCTATTTGTTTTAATTGTGAATCTAAATCTTCGTGTCAAAACATTTGCTTCTAATTCTATGTGTTAGGTTCCCGCATACTATACGGCAGCCCTGCACCTGTGCCAACCCTGAGGCTAGCTCCAGTGCTAACAGTGTGCTGAGGCTCTGTCCTGGAAATCAGGCTGACTCCTAGGAAACTGGAAAAGCATACTTTTCAAGATTAGAAGTCAGTTAATATTACCAAACCTGTCAACAGCACTTTTTAAGAATGTGCTGAAGGAATCCATTGTGCCTATAGCATTTTGAAAACCAAACTAAGGGCAATATTTACAATCTAAAAATTTTTATGTGCCAAGAAGTCAGTATCAGGACACTGCCTGTAGTGTCTGTACTGCCTCATTAGCTCTCAAATTTTCTTATAAGCAGTTCAATCACTAGACCCTTCAGCACATGATCCTAAGACATTGGTAAATATAGTAAAGAAATGCAGAAAAATCAAGTTTGGTGAGTCTTATAATGATTTTAGAACCATTTGTTTGGAGTCCATAAAAAAAATGGAAATGAACAAAGATTTGGATACTTAAGTAGAGAACACTGCCATAAATAAGAGATGAGTTAACAGTAAGTGGATTTTTACAAAGAAACAAACACTTATGTCTGACTAAAGACAAAGAGTCCTTCTGGGTGACCCAGGACTTCCTCACTCTGAATTCAAAATAGAGAAGTTAAATAGAAGAACAACTTTTCAACCACTCAGTTGTTGCTGTGACAACCAACCCCAACATGTACGTAACAAACAGCACAAGAGTGACTTTGAAGTCCTTGAGCAGAAACAAAGCATGTGGAGAGGTGAAGCCTGTTGGTAGGGGAGTGCCATGAGGAAGCAAAGGATAAGTGTTTTCCTTCAGTAAACCTATAACATGAAAAGAACTCTGTGAAGGCACAAAACTGGGAAGGACGAGGCTCCTAATCTAACATATTTAATTTAATGGAAGATGTTCACAAATAAAATAGAACGCTTATTGGGGCAGGAGAGTGTGTGAAGAAAATCCAACAGTATATATTCAGAAAAACTTGGAAAAATCTGGGCTGGATCTTAAAGGTTAAGTACAACATAAATATTTATTGGGGAGAAGGAAAAGCATTAGAGAGAAACACTCCAGCCACAGGGAAGAGGATGAAGAACTCACCTGCCCTCTCATAGTATTTTCTGCTTCTTGTTAGACCTAAATTACTTCACTACAATGTTCTGTGTCCATATAAACCTCCTCCTTCAGAAAATTCTCTGCTGTATGGGCCAGTAGGAGGTGCATAAGTGCTCCATCTGCATGACCAGCAATCTGCCCCAACGTTTGACACACAGAGCTCTACCTATTTGTGTTCCATGATCAAAAATACGTATAAAAAAAGCAAAGGTATAAGACACGGAATAGAGGGCTCGTGGTATTTGCAATCGATAGTGAGTATACAGACAATAAAACACAGAGTGGTGGAATTTAGGATGAATGGGAAAAGACAACAACAATACAAAGATTTTAACTAAAACAAGCTCTGGAGAGTTGGGAATAGCGACTGAAGCTTTTGCAACCGAACTATGTGGATATAAAACACGTTCTACTTTGTCATGAAGTCTCCAGAAGAGTTACATAACTCAGTCACTTCCAATAAACAGACCTAAGTCTTCCCATACTTAGGAATATTTACAAAGTCCTTCCAATGGGCCAGACACTGTTAGGAACTGCGCACACAGCAGCCAGTACGAACACAAATGGCACTTGTCCCCATGGAATTTTACACTCTAGTCTACTTCATTCACTTATTTAATCAATTCCTAAGTGAAGAATGTATTGGCTCAGTTTTGCACTGTGTGCTCGGTATTGAAGGAACAGAAAGAGAAAAGGAACACACTCTCTGACACAAAAGAAAACTACAATCCCTACACGAACAAAGATGAAATGCGAACTAAGTTCCATCCAAGTACAGAATGGGTGACTGATTTGACCTAAGTTAGCCTGCAGGCTTCATGGATATTTCCCTGAATTGGGTTTTAAGTTTAAACAGTGCATTTTGAGTCCTTCAAAGCTCTAAAAGTGAGTGCAAAATGCTATGTGTTTAAGTGCATATAAGTTAACTCTGAAAGAAAATTTGACACACATGATCTTCATGCTAAAGGTCAGAAATCACCGGATAGGGAATATGGGGAAAGAGATGAGAGCAAGAACCAATCTAAGCTGTCAAACCAAGGTAAGGCAAGCATTTAAAAAACAAAGTCTATTACACAAACCTTAGACTAACTTCCCAACAATACACTCTCTGCCAACAAGGAAGCTCGGCTCGGCACTTGATCAGAAGTGTTCTTTCCTGATGGCATTTTGTCAGGAAAAAAAAAAAAAAAAAGCAAAGGTGCTGCTATTTTCTGAGATTCGCATATCTAATATCTGACCAAATCTAGTTAATTTCACAGTAAAAACTACAAGTGGGGGTAATAGCCCAATTTTAAACCTCACAATGGGTAAAAGGACAACAGCTTTTGGTAAACTGATACCAGTATGATATCGATTTTACTGAGTGGCAGTGGAGAGGATTTCAGCAGCTGTCATAAGTGTAATACATAAAACACCCAATAAAGTGGTTTTTCTGATCCTTGGGGAAGAGGAGGAATTGCTTTAGCTTTTATGAGCATTTCTATAAAATGGAATTTCAAATATCTAACCACAACAATGAGACAGAGAATTAATCCAGTAATATGAAAGTCAGGATGGCTTGCCATATTTTAAAACCCAGCTCTCCAAATAAATCTAATAATAATAGTAATAAAAATGACAACAATAACAGGATCACATTTACTTCCGTTTTTACTACTGTATATTTGGAAGTCCCTGTGTGCACAAACAACCACTGTCTAATTTGTAAACGTATTGTGTTCTAGAAGCTCCTTGACAAACCAGCTATTTGAAATTCAGTAAATCACTTACAAACCACAATTTGCTTTCCGGGCTGGTTACCAAACCTGACTTACTCAACAAACATTTACTGAGCATCAATTTACCTCCCAGAATTGTTGAATTAGAGAACTGTGTGTTCTGGTTCCTGAATTAAGGAAACCCTGTCATGCAGAAGAGAGGAGAGAAAGATGAAGTGAAGATACGCACAGGAGGAAAATGAAATCCTGTCCCATTTCCTCTGCAATTCTCGTTTTTTTTTTTGGAGGGGAGGGGGTTTTCCGGTACCAGGAATCCAACTTACGACATTGTACTTGCCAGGCAGGCACTGTGCTGCTGAGCTAAATCCCCAGGCCCCATCCTCTGCAATTCTGAAATATAAACCTGAGGCTTTCTGCTTCCTCCAATGTCACTTTGTCAGAGTCCTCTCTGATTTCCCAAGCCCTGCTACTCACAAATTTCCCTAGGACCCCCACTTCGGCTCAACACCCAGTATGTGTTTAAAGATTTCCCTACCATTCAAAGTGCCTGAAATTCTAAAAGTAAAGACTATCTGCACATCAGCCTTGGAGAGCACAGGTTTTAGAACCACAGAAAACTGACCTACAATCCCTGACTCTTCTGTTAGCATCCTGTTTTGAGAAACATAGAAAATAATAGAACACAGCACACAGCCTTTGATCATGGCCCTGTGTTCTCCGGCAAATCACTCTACTGAGCTCTACCTTGGTTTCCTTGGAAAACAAGATAACCTACTTCATAAGAATGTTGAGAAAGAAATGCAAATAGAGCACTCGGAGCAATCCCTGTGTTCAGCAGATGTTAACTCTAAGTGTTTACCTCTCTGTGGTCCCATTTCTTTATTTATTGAAAGAGGACATCCCCCTTGAAGAGATGCGGTGAGCACCACCAACGATAGCATGTAAAGTTAGCATACTGGCATATTGCCTTGGACAGTGTTAGTAAAACGTCTGCTATTTTAGCTTCTTCTTTATCTTTTCAATACAGCAGCTTTCAACTTTCAGACAACAGAAAGACAAATGTGCTGGAACTGATTACAATGAATGTTACTTTTAACCCTCGTGTTAGTAAAAGATCCCATTCCTACGATGTCAAAGTAGGAATTTCAATGAAAGGAGACCCACTGTAGGGGGGCCGAGGTCCCTCACCGGGTGCTTGAGGATGGAGGCAGAAGGTGAAACACAGAAAGCAACGTCACCACTGTTCTACAGCCTTGGAGAATGTTTTACAGCCTTGGAGAATTCAGCTGCCAAAAATATTGATTTCATTCCCACAATGGAAGAAATCTTAGAATTAAAGATACCAGCCAAGTAGGCAAGGGTAGAGAACATGCACCAGTAGCAACTTTTTTTTGTATAACCAGAGGTAGAAAAGATAGCTGTTTGCTGATTGTCATCACTTGTATGCTAGCGGGACACTGCCATGGCAACTGTTTTACATCAGTGACATATTTTTTCTCAGTCTTTTTGTGTAGACTTTAAGCTACCGTTCATCCCTTGAACAGTGTCTCTAGAGACTGACTTAACTGGCTTCTCTTCTCACTGTATTTATTCTTCTCAAGGGCTTCAAATATCATAGAGATGCATACAATTCTCTATCGCCTGCTCGGATTTCTCTCGTGCTCCACACCCACACATGTGCAACCACTATGTGATGTCACTGCCACCTACGTGCCTCACAGACACGTCTGTGAAAACCCAAAGTTTATATTTCAGAATGGCAGAGGAAATGAAATAGGATTTAATTCCGAGTACTACTACACTCAAAATCTAATTGCAAACTGCTCATCTTTAGCCAATAAAAAGTCTCTCGAAGTGAATTCTTAAGTTTTTTCATTAGCAACTTAGAGAATTCAAAATTTTCCACCATTACTGTGGAATTGTCTTTTTCCCCCTTGAATTCAGTTAACTCTTGCTACACGTATTTGGAAGTACTATACGTATTGCTACATTTTTATTTTTAAGTCTTCCTGATGAGATGACCTTTTCATTAATATGAAATGCCCTCTTTATCACCAGCAATACTCACTGTCTTAAGGTATACTACCTGATGTGTGTATACCCCTTCTAATCTTATTTTACTCAGTATTGTTTTGTATGTGTCTTCTGCATTTCATGCCCTGCAAACTTTACAGCTTTATGTACTATGTATGCATACTTGCATTGGCTCTGTCCTTCTCAATTTAGCTTTACTGCTGAAATAATTTATTTCATTCTAAGTTCTCAATGAGCTATATAATTTCTGGCCTTTTACAAATGTATTCATTCGTGTCTTAAGGTTGTTGGTGGCTGATCCCACTCATGCTGTTGAAAGCAGTTCTTAGAAACAACCTGTCACTGAGGATTGCAGCAACTGCTGGCTTGGAGGTTTTGGCCCTGGTTTACATGGTGACTTGAAGAGATCCGAAGCTATGCTGCTGGCACTTGTGTCACCTTCCAACACTTTCATTTATTAATTAAACACTTTCCAAGACCCTCAGATGTGGCAAAGACCACAGTGGATTGTGCCCACACACTAGGGCACATAAGAAGGCACGTATCAATAACAAATGACAGCACTGACTAATCAAGGAGTTAGAATTCACCAGATGAATCAGCAGCTTCTGACTTAAGTGGTGAGTGGAAGCGGGCAACATTGCTCAAAAATGTCCCACAGGAAGTCGCAGCAACGTGTCAGTTCTGGTAGTCCAGTGAGTGTCATTTAAGAAACTGTGAGCTGGAGGAAAGCAACTTTACCTCTTCCTTTTAAACAATGCCAAATGAGGAAATGGTGAAAGATTTGCATAAAAGTATTAAAGGAGAAATAAACAAAATCTGAGGATAGAAATCTCAGTCTCTACATTGAATTTAGCGCTAAAGAGCAATCAGTACTTTAGAACAGGTAAAATTTGCTCTAACTTGCTTACCATGTACCAAGTGACGTTTGGCTTGACGGTCAAAGGAAAATATCCATCCACATTTGGACAAGTGATCTTCTGAATGCCGTCTTCTATGTACAGTTTTTCCACTGGGAGCTTCATGGGAGAATTGTAACAGCTGTCTTTCTGAATAACTTCCAGAGGAAATGCAACTTTGCTGCAATATGTAGTATTCCTGAAAACAGAAACATACACTGAGTGAGTTTCGTTTGCATTTTATTTAGTACTGCAATCATATTAAAATGAACTTGATACCTCATTTATATGCATACATTTGTGTGGAAATCAAATGAGTTATGGAGGTATTTCTATATCCATTGGCATCATAGAATAAAAAAACCCATAATAATCTATTCTCAATGTATTGAACTACTTGTACTTTATATAAGAAACTAAAAGTGTATGTTTAACATTTTTCACTGAAAACATTCTCAGTATCACTCATTATTGGTAAGGTAAAGACAAGAGTGGCACATTTATGCATGGCTGATAGTAACTAAAACAATCTTTGGAAAATAACTGTTTCCAGGAAAATTTATAAAGCCTTAGGTTTTGGCCTATTAACCGTATGTCTGGAAGTTTCTGTTTGTTTCATCTGTTTGTGTTCCATTTAGTAGAGGTAGAGAGAAGTTGAAATGGATACGGCACATAATCAAAAATGTCCATGCAGTGCCATCTCAGAAAATATTGGAATAAGCAGAAAAATCACAAATAAAGATTGTAAACAAAACCATGGTACAACCATTTAAATTGTTGTCACCCCTTTAAAATCAATTGAGCATAGAACTTTTTAGAATAACTGGGAAATTGTATATGCACAGTTCTCCTTCTGCCTAGAGAGTTCCCCATCTCTAGTATCCTCTACCAATCCCATATCTGAGATTAGGACACAGATTCACACAAATAGAAGGCAATGAAAAGACATGGAGAGAGGATGATCATATAGAAGCCTAACAGAAATTTAGTGGGTATGAAATCTACCCTGCCGACTTTAACGTTAGACTTCTAGTCAGAATTGTGTAAATTTCTATTGTGTAAGCCATTTAGTCTGTGGCATTTTGTTATCGTAATTCTGGCAAACCAATATACCTGTTAAGGGACTGTGTAGAAAATTATGTTAAACAAAAAAACTAAATCAACCACACACACAAAAAAGCAGATGGGAATTTAAGAAATAAAATACAGCCTGGTAGCTAAAAAGAGAGTATAGTAAAAAGTAACCAAAGAAATAAGACTTAAAATGGTAATTCTTTGCTGGGACCTCAATTCTTTTTTGGTTTTTGTCTCATTTGCCCAACAAAACATTAATATGTTATAAAACAAAGGTAGGCATGTTGAGGTTAAAACATCATATCTACAAAGATCTTGAAGAAAAAAAATGGATTTGATGAATTTTGCAATAACGGTTAGCTGCTTTAGACTAAGTCTTAGATTCCCAGGGATGTCATGTTCACTTGCTTCTTAGGGGAACTTTGGTAGAAAAGTATAAGAGCTTCGTCCTAAATTCATTTGGTGCTTCCCAAGTGCTGTTTCTTCTATAAAGGTACTCTGAGTGTGTCTGCTGTGCCAAGCACTTTGAAAGATGCCAAGAATAACAGATATAAACAAGTTCTACTCCCTGCACTGTGTAATTCTGCAGGAAATGGAGGCCTCCAGGAGAGCCACAGACGTAGCTGGGTTCTGATGCTGCGGAAAATGAGAGAATAAACAAGGTGATTTTAGACCGCTCTGACATATGTCAGGGTCTCAAAAGGAACCACTGAGGGACAATGTTCTCAGGAGCACAGCAGTCTTCCCTGCACACGTCCTCATTCACCTCATCCAAGCCACTCAGGTAAGGCACAACTTCTATCTACATTCTTCCTTACCCTTCCCCGCTGTGTACCACACTTATGATCAGAATAGAGGTCTGGGAACCCAAGAGGAAAAAGGAAATTACTGCTAAGAGTTACCTTAACATGCAGGTATAGTTGCCTGTGTCATTGAGGAGGGTAGGCCGGAACCAGAGCACATCTTTCTCCTTACTAATGCGGTTCTCAGGGAGGCGGAAGTTAATTGGCTCCTCAAGGTCCCGGTCCTGCCGAGTCCAATACCAGATCAGCGTAAGGCCGGCCGAATGCGCTGTGCTGTAGTTAAACTTCAGGAAGTGTTCAAAGAGTGGGCACTTGATTCGAGCTGGCTCATCTTCATATACTTGGATTTGTCTCATGGTATCAAGTCCCCAGTCATCGCAGCGTTCTAGAATAATCAAAAAGAAAAAAAGGGACAGATGAGGCCTTCAGAGAAAACACTGTCTCCTCAGGATACCCAGACTTTGTCAGGAATTTCCTTCTCTGGTCATCTTCGATGACTTTCTGCTAATAAATGCATACGTTAAGAACCTCACGAGTAAAGAAATTGCTTCTCTCCATTTCTTTATTGTCTTTTGAGCATCTCTTGGATCATAATTACATCTGATAGCTTGAGTCTGTAGAACCCTACAAAGAATGGGAAAGGTATCCCCTGAAAAAGGTCATGTGCTGGTGGTTCACTTCCTGGAGAGAGTCATTTTAAAGAAGAAATTGTAACTGAAACAGCAACCTTTGTCTAGAGAGGAGAGAGGATTCCAAGTTCTACAAGTTCTCCTGCTTTTTGGACTAGACCTTCCGTGTCCAACAGGAATACAATGTGAACAACATGTGTAATTTTGGATACCTAGTTGCACACTGAAAAAAAGTTAAAAGAAGTGGATAAAATCACTGCTAAGAGTAGATATTGCTGAGCTACGCTTGATATACGCAAGACATCCAAAAACAATCAGTGAACTCTTTTGCATTTGCATTCATTTTTGTAGCATATCTTCAAAATTCAACGTCTTTTATGTGTATAGTACCCTCAACTTAGGCTAGCCATTTGTTTCTCTGGATACCATAATTAGGAGCTGGACCTTAAGAAGTCAAGGTGTTCGTGATAATTACTCCCCAGTAAGTGTCCACCATTTTATAAAGGTGTCTAGCATTTTAATGATTGAGAATCAGACAAAATTCATAATGGTTTTCACTTCTTAAGAGTTATATCTGCATGGAGGCCATATAGATGTCACCATATCAAGGCACAAGGGATTTTAGTGGTGACGGAGTTCTGTGAGGCTCCAAAAGCATTTTACAACACTATTCTTTGTTTCTAATACACATACATAGATAAATGCATACATAATATATTATATATATGTATAAGATTTTAACTTTGTAAATTCTCATTGCAGTTAACATCTAAAGCTTTTAGTTCTAGGTATAATATCGGAAAGGGTTAAACTTGTGCATATTTTAAGTAATGGTATTGTAAAATAAAATGGTCACATCGTTACTCATATCCAATGGAATGGTGATTCGCTGTACATCAATATCAACTCTAAAAAACTATAAATACACTGTCTTTTAACCATAATAAAGTCCATACTATTTTTGTCTTGAACTTGTATTAGTTCTATTATCTCCACATAAAACTTACTTTAATGGAACGTACTCTTATGTTTGATTTTTCAAAAAATCCTTTTTGTACTCTTCTCCTGAACAATATATAAAATTCTAAATATTAAAATGGGTTTATTATAATCATAATCTATACAGTTGAAATAATACATGTTTTCCACTTTGAAAATAATTTTTAAAAGTAAAGTTTTATTGGCATCCTGTTTTAATCTGAATGGGTTGCTTTTGAATGAGAGGGGTTTGGTTAGTTGAAAATTAATCATCCACATGTAAGCACTGAGGAAAGTTTTCATATCCAGACACAAAAGGTCACTCAACTATATAAACTCCTCTAGTAATACACCCAAGCTGTATATTTTAACATCAAGAAGACTCTTGCAAATGGCAGGGGGTGAGGATACAGGGAAGAATAAAAATGGGGCTGTTTTTGCAGATTCTGTCTTCCAGAACTGTCAAGTAATCATTAAAAACAGTCTCTCATCTGGAATGAAAGTCTGTTTCCCATCTCCCGAAGCTGCCCTCTCCCTATGACCCAATGGCCAAGACAATGCAGCAAAAGTCACCGTGTGGCTCACCCAGCCTGGGACTCAGTAGCTTTTCCTGTTCTGCTGGAACCCTGTTACCACTGTTAAACAGGCTGAAGAAGCTGGCTAGTGAATAAGGGGACACATGCAGGAGACCTGAGGTCTCTCTGCTGCAACGGGCCACCTCCAGCAGCCTGCATGCAGCCCAACCCTCCCACAGCTGAGCAAGGTCGAGAGAGCAAGCCAGCCTAGACCAGCTGTGCCAGGAGGCTAACAGGCTCCCGAGCAAAAACGCATGTGTCACAAATAAAATAAAGTTGTGTCACTGAGCTGTGTGGCTGTTTGCTAGGCAACCTTTTTGTAGCAGTATATGATTATTAAAACAACTAAAGAGCAGTTACTTTCCTTCTGATGAAAGCAAGGAATTCAAATCCTGAATTACAAAACCATTTGACATCTAAATAAGTACTAAATCCAAGGGAAATTAAACAGGCTGCCTTTTCCAGGCTCAACAAATGGATATTTCTTGCTAGGCTTTCATTAGAATTACTTTTTAAAATGGAACATGCAGAGAGAACTGGAAAGATCAGAAGGTTGTTTTTATCAATATCTATACAATATTTTAATAAAATCTTTTTTATATCACATTCATTCACTATACAGGATTTCTCTAACTCTTCAAAGTTACAGAATTAGCTCCTCAGCTTACAAAAAAATTGCACCCATATTTTTTTCCGATAGACACAAAGTATTTTATATATATGGTACAACTTCACTCCTTTGTTAACCTCCACTAAAACAAAACTGTTGGAGGCATACTCCCGAGTAAGGGCAAGTGCCAGGGAAAAGACAAAGGGAACACGAAAATGGCCAAGTAGTAACCAATTTAGCACATTTAAAAACACATATTCTAAACCAGTAGGGGTGAAGGCTGAGGAAGAAAGCGATCTGCATTTCACAATGTTGAAAAGATCCAGGAACTAAGAGCACACAGATAAGGAGGGAGTCAGTAGTGCTGTTTGCACAATATTTCTGGTTCTTCTCCAAGGCGTATTTTAAGATTGTATTTTTCTGCACCTTTAAAGTAAGGAGAGACTGTCTGATTTACTATGGACACAACGCTATGAGGGTCTCTTGGGATGAGTGTTTTAACAGCCAGGGAGTACTATACCAAATTCTCTTCTCCTCTGCTTTGGCAAAACTGTAAGTGGACACTGAGACTCCCTTCGCTTGGGTCTCTGAGACAATACAGAAGATCTTTGTTACTAAATCATATATAATGAGGGTTTGCTTGTTACTCGTACCAATAATACATCCTAACTTGGCAAAGGTAAATGGGTGCCTCAAAATAGAGGACATGGTAAGAGTGGTAAAATAAGAGGACCAGATGACATGTAACACACAGTTATACCCTTTCTTTCAATCTGGAACTGGACACATTTCCCCACTCAGCTGGAAGGTCAAGGTAGGACAGGGAAATGTGACCCTATTAAGTAGAAAGACCTAATAATTTTATATCAAAAGCTTTTAAACACATGTAGCCACATCATCCAATAGCAAAGGTCAAAGCTACTAACACGTTTCACAAACATTAGGAATTTCTAATCAGCTTCTTAACTTCTCTTAAATATGAACAACCCAGAAAGATACCTGAGGAAAATCTTTACTACAAAATATAGTGTGCAAGCCGGGCGTGGTGGTGCATACCTGCTGTAATCCCAGCACTTGGGAGGCTGAGGCAGGAGGACAATTGTGAGTGCGAGACCAGCCTGGGCTACAAAGTGAGCTCAAGGGGAGCCGGAACTGCATAGCAAGACCCTGTCTTAAAAATGACCAAAAAAAAAAAAATGTATATATATATATTCCAATAAAATAAAATAAAAGACTCTTGGAAAAAATTGATTATTCAAGGAAAAGAAAACATTTAAAAAATACTATCATTACCATCATCAGAGAGATGAAGAATCTATTGCCTTCATGAAGGAAGAATAGGGTGCTGTAACAAAGGGATATTCAGAGAAACAAAGAGCTGATTGAAATTAAAAGCATAATTGTAAACAGAAAACTTTAATACACGATTGTCTTGAAATTAGAATTGTGGATTTTGTGTCAATGTAGAGCAAAAAGAGAAGTACACAGTACATGGAAATAGAAAATAGCTCAGAAAATTAGAAATTTCAACCCAGGAATTCAACATCTCAAGAAGAGAAGCCATCGAAATGAGGGGAAAATAGAAAGAAGAAAATTTTCAATTAAATATTTGAAGAAGAAAATCCAGGAGCAAAGCACACACCTTCTAAATTAAAAGGATTTGTCATGCCTACAATACACAATGAGTGAACACATTTACAATACCAATATATTTTGGAAAAAAAAAAACAACACACAGTAAAAGAGAAGAATCTATGAAATATCCCTGAGTAAAAACAGGCAAAAAGTGGACACAAAAAAAAGTCAGGAGGAAAACTGGATTTGAACTCTCAAATACACAACTGGAAACTAGAAAGAAATGACGCAATCCATTTGTAGAAAAAAATTATGCCCAAATTTGAATTGAAACCTAACAAAACAATGGATTTGAAGGACACATTTTCCAACGAGGATTCCATCGTTGTAGTTCCATCATTCTATTGTACGCTTTATGGGAAGCTTCTGGGTACTTGTGCCACTGAAATTAGAGAATAAAGTGAGAGGAAAACAAGGGATCTCAGAACACAGGATCCAATTCGAAAGGCAGAAGAAAGGATATCTAGAATGATGGAGGATTCCACAATAATAGCTATGCAGCAGGACTTAGTAATGAACCAGTGTAGGCAGAAGGGGACTAATGTTACCAACGAAGAAAAAGCCACTTGAAAATTTTAAAGTGGTTTCCTAAAGACACACATTAAAGCAAGCATATGAAAAAATGCAATAAATAACTTCAAAAAATAGGAAAAGTAACATAATTAGATGTGTTTTATTAACATGCAAGGCATTAACGAAATGATTTTGAATCCAACCAAATATACAATAATATTATATTGAAAAGAATGGAGAAGGAAAGTAGAGGAATTAGCAGTTCACATAATCCTTTTACTGTAGCAAAAAAAGTGAAAATATACTGCGTAGTGTTGACTGAGTTAAAAGAGTGCAATATACACAAATTTGTTAACAAAGTATAGATAGGAAATGCCACAAGAAGTAGTCACCTCTGAGGAGGATAAGTAGTGGGAGTGAGGGAAATTAAGGCAGAGAGAATGTA